CAGGACACCGCGGTGCCAACACACAATTCTGTTCCCATCATTACACGCGTACACCCTTGGGGTTAATATCGTCACGTACGCCATGATAACAACTGGAAAGAAGATAACATAAATGAAAATGATCTGCCGTGACCTTCATAAGCCCCAGAGGTTTTGTTCCCTACTTATCGTATCTGGCCAAAAAAAAAAGTTCTCTAGGGATTGTTGGAGGGGGAGTACCGGCAAATGGATTCACAAATTCGGGGGTCGACAGGGAGTCACTGGTAATTTTGCTGATGCAAAACCCAGATGAAATCAGATAGGCCAACTTGAAAGCACCCAAACTTTTTTGAAAGTGCGAAGTGATAACTTTGTCTGATGAGACGTATACATATAGTTATTAAAGTGGAGTCATTTTGAGTTTAACACGGACCACGTTTTGCACGATAGGAGTAATTATGATTGATGAACACTGGTGAAAATGTACAGAACGATAGTATTTGGAATGTGGAAAGAATATTGAATTTTCCTACATCCGGCTCTTATCATAATTAGTGATAAGAACATTCTTTAAAGGGCCACATGCACTAAATTGAAAAAAAAATGGAGCAAACTGTCGCAAACCAGGGAGAGAAATTTGTTTAGAGCAATTGTGATTCCGCAGAAGGATCAGATCGATTGTTGTTGCGCATAGTTATTCAAAGCAAACATCTAACTTTGTGTTTTCAAAAACAAGTGTGGTAGTCAAGTCCAGCACAAGTAAATCAAAAATTCTTTCAAAAGTCCAGTCACAAGCAACAGGGAAATATACGATTACAACGATTTCAATTTTTTGAAAGTGCGAAGTGATAACTTTGTCTGATGAGACGTATACATATAGTTATTAAAGTGGAGTCATTTTGAGTTTAACACGGACCACGTTTTGCACGATAGGAGTAATTATGATTGATGAACACTGGTGAAAATGTACAGAACGATAGTATTTGGAATGTGGAAAGAATATTGAATTTTCCTACATCCGGCTCTTATCATAATTAGTGATAAGAACATTCTTTAAAGGGCCACATGCACTAAATTGAAAAAAAAATGGAGCAAACTGTCGCAAACCAGGGAGAGAAATTTGTTTAGAGCAATTGTGATTCCGCAGAAGGATCAGATCGATTGTTGTTGCGCATAGTTATTCAAAGCAAACATCTAACTTTGTGTTTTCAAAAACAAGTGTGGTAGTCAAGTCCAGCACAAGTAAATCAAAAATTCTTTCAAAAGTCCAGTCACAAGCAACAGGGAAATATACGATTACAACGGAATGCCTTTGTCAAAGTTCCTTTTTAATAACTTAATTGTGACTTGAATTGTGACTGGGTTGTGATGGACTTGCAGAGACTTGTGAGGACTTGCAGGGACTTGCGATGGAATTGTGAGGACTTGCAGGGACTTGCGATGACTTGTGAAGACTTGCAGGGAGGACTTACAGGGACTTGTGAGGACTTGTGAGGACTTGCAGGGACTTGCAGAGACAGAGACTTGTGATGGAAATGTGAGGACTTACAGGGACCTGTAATGGACTTGTGAGGACATGCAGGGACATGTGATGGACTTGCAGGGACTAAATTGTGAGGACTTGCAGGGACTTGCGATGGACTTGTGAGGATTTCCACGGACTTGCAGAGACTTGCAGAGACTTGCAGAGACTTGTGATGGACTTGCAGGGACCTGCGATTGACTTGTGAGGACTTGCAGGACCTGTGATGGACTTGTGAGGACTTGTGATGGACCTGTCAGGACTTTCAGAGACTTGTGAGGACTTGTGATAGACTTGTGAAGACTTGCAGGGACTTGCGATGGACTTGTGAGGACTTGCAGAGACATGCGATGGACATGTGAGGACTTGCAGGGACTTGCAGAGACAGAGACTTGTGATGGAATTGTGAGGACTTGCAGTGACTTTTGATGGACTCGACTACAACCTCTCAAAACCTCAACTTTTTTGGGCCCAAAACAAAATAGCAACCGTTTGTATTTCCAACTTTTTTGGGCCCAAAACAAAATAGCAACCGTTTGTATTTCCAAGTCCCTTTTGGCCTTCAAGTGCCTGCTTCCCATCTTGAAGCCGTGCTATAAAACATCAAGCATCGAGCCAGCTGGTGAAATTGTGACGGTTTTTTTTTTTCAAGTGGGGACGACCTACCTTCGGGCAATTCGCTTGTGGGATTTATAGATAATTGGAGAACTTGCATCTGTCCCCGAGATTTATCGGCCGAGCAGATGTACAACTGGTTTTTGGTGTAAATGTGGGCTGAGCATGCAGCGTTGGGCCGCAAGCCGGCACACTTATTAGAGTCATAACTGATGTGAAGGTTGCGTGTTAAGTGCTTGTCATATCTGGAATTCCAGTGTAATATTATGTGACAATAAACATATTTTGAGGTTATCTATTTCTAGTATTGGATTGTATACTTAACAGTACAGTGGAAATCAGGGGGGGGGGGGAATATATAACTTTGTCCATTATTTTTCAAGAATATTATTGTATCCAGATAATCTTTAATTCATTTGTCCGGAACTCAGTTTTCAGCAGGTACTCGTACAGATGGAAAAATCAACTGCAAATGTTAATTGCAAAAGAACAAAAAAAAAATCACCTCTTTTTGATTCAAAATTCAGCTTGCGTTCACATCCCTGCATTGCACAGTACCAGAGGTATGACCCAAAAAAAATGAAATTCATGTAAATTATTACTTATTTATGTGTTCCCAACCTGGCTCCATCTGTAAAAGCAATAAATTTAATGATGATAAACTGCTACTACATTCAAATCCCCAGGGTACGTCGACCTTTGACCTCGGGTCAACCGCAGCTGTTTGAAGCACGCCCCTGGGACGACGAGAGTCAATTTGTTTCCCATTTTTCGCCGGCAGTCCGTTTGGTAGCAATCAAACTTCCCATAAAAAAATCAAATTTCATTTCAGTCCTGTGCCTGACAGTTTGTTTTTCACAAGGGCAAAGTTTACGTGATCACGGCCCTTCTCTAGATTCCCAGCTGCATTCAGGGTAGCACCTAAGAGGCAATTTTTTATAGGGATCATGAAGAAGTGGGACAACACGTAGGCTTACATGTTTCCGTTGGGGAGCACATGCTCCAATCTTTACATAACCTTCTTAGCAATTGGGGAAGATAGACACCTGGAAAATTAAAAAAAAAACCACATACATATTCTGTTATTGCTGTCTCAACAATCTGATCTTGAAATGAAAGCGTGATGAACTAAAAATAATGGTTTACGTACGTACATTGCTTGGCGAGAGGGCGCTATTCATAATTATGAGTTAATCAATATTAGGTTTTGCCCTTCACAGACGTATAACCACTGTACACTCGGTGTGTTACCCGAGTGGAAGTTGGGGAAAAAATCACTCGGGTGGAACTCGAACCCACGACCTCCTGCTTTCTAGTAGTGCAGACGTCTTACCACTCGACAACCGATCCCGCAAGCTCGGTAGTCGAGTGCACTAGAAAGCAGGAGGTCGTGGGTTCGAGTCCCACCCGAATAATTTTTTTCTCGCCTTCACTTTGATTTGATATCTTTCACTGGGTGGGGGAGGGGGGGGGGAACACACTGAGTATACAGTGTTTATATACGTTAGTGAAGGGCAAAAACCTTATATTGACCTTTGACCTCGGGTCAACCGCAGCTGTTTGAAGCACGCCCCTGGGACAACAAGAGTCAATTTGTTTCCCATTTTTCGCCGGCAGTCCGTTTGGTAGCAATCAAACTTCCCACACAACAAAATCAAATTTCATTTCAGTCCTGTGCCTGACATTTTTTTTTCACAAGGGCAAAGTTTACGTGATCACGGCCCTTCTCTAGATTCCCAGCTGCATTCAGGGTAGCACCTAAGAGGCAATTTTTTATAGGGATCATGAAGAAGTGGGACAACACGTAGGCTTACATGTCTCCGTTGGGCCGAGCACACCAATCTTTACATAACCTTCTTACCAATAAGGGGGAGGGAGAACTTAGACACCTGGAAAAAAAAAGAATAAAAAAAAAACATTCTTTTATTGCAGTCTCAACATTCTGATCTTGAAATGAAAGCGTGATGAACTGAAAATAATGGTTTACGTACGTACATTGCTTGGCGAGAGGGCGCTATTATAGTATTGAGTTAATCAATATTAGGTTTTGCCCTTCATAGACGTATAACCACTGTACACTCGGTGTGTTACCCGAGTGAAAGTTGGAAAAAAAATCACTCGGGTGGAACTCGAACCCACGACCTCCTGCTTTCTAGTAGTGCAGACGTCTCACCACTCGACAACCGATCCCGCAAGCTCGGTGGTCGAGTGCACTAGAAAGCAGGAGGTCGTGGGTTCGAGTCCCACCCGAATGATTTTTTTCTCACCTTCACTTTGATTTGATAACTTTCAAGGGAGGGGGGGGGGGGGGGTAACACACTGAGTATACAGTGTTTATATGAAGGGCAAACACCTTATATTGATTTACATCACCCCGACTCAAATTTCATCTTATTAATAATTTTGAGTTGTTAAGAAAAACCTTTTTGTAAGATGGAGAAAAAAGAAAAAGACAGTGGAGAAAAATTACAATTAAGGTCGATAAATTTTGCATGAGGATCTTATATTTCCAATTAATTATTTCCACCCGATTGTGCACATTCCTGAGCATTCTTGAACGTCACGGTGGATGTTGCAGTTTAGAGAGACGATGAGTTATTGATCCGCACCGCAATCCACTAAAAAAAACCTGAGATGTCCGTTTTCTGACTGCATCTTAAAATTTAAATATTCTTTGGTGATTAATATTGAAAACCAGTTTCTTAAAAAAATTCTTACGCCGCATTTTTTTTAACAAAAGATTAAATTGCGACCCAATTTCAAGCCTACTAATAAATTTTCTCGGTTCATAAATTCATGGTAAAAAAATAACAATGCTAGAGGGCGCTGTTGCCAAATTGGCTGTTGGCATCGTAGTCTGGATCCTCTGGGTACATTTAAAGCGTACCAGTTAATACCTAGTGGGCGTGGGAAGCTAGACCAAAGTTTCCGGACTTTCTTCCAGACAAGAAAATATAATTTGCGGTACAAATTCTACAATATGCCTGGAAGATCGACTCCCTTAAGTGTAATTTTAGTTTCATCAGGTTCAAAAGGAAACAGACTTCTCTTCCGATATCCTTACCAGGAGGAAAGTGACAAAGAAGTTGTTCAAAAGAGTATGTTATAACTTGTTTTGAAGTAGAACTCTATATGGTATTGGTAACTAGTCCGAGTAACTTGGACCCAACTTATCGCCTTTTTAAAAATTTGGACATGGTCTGGCGATAGTAGGGTCCAAGCCCATTCCGAGACCTAGACAACACAGTCACTGACAGTCCCAAAAACCAACATTTTCCAACAAAAAACATCAGATTTCACCTTCAAAACGGCCTCCAAATTACTAGATATGCCACCTGAGGTACAAGTAGACATCGATAATTAAGATGGTTGTACTGAAGTTTACTTACGATCCGGAAAAAAAGTGAAATTTTCCGTTCATTTCGGAGAGCTCCCCTCGCGATCTTGAACACGTTAAATTTGCGATCGTGTTTAAAGTTTGAACGACGCGATTTCTTCTACATGCCCAGCGTACATTCGATGGTCCCCGTATCCCGAGTGCGATTCCGTTACCGAGCGCGCGCGATGCATCGATTATGATAATGATCACGTTTGTAAACACATACATGTGCATTTCGAACTGTAAAAGGGAATCGGGAACCAGCTTGAACTGGTACCCGCTATAAAAGCTACGCTAGTTCCCGACTCCCTATTATCGTTTGAAATGCACATGTGTTTACAAACGTGATCCAGTCTACTCATTATCATAATCGATGCATCGCGCGCGCTCGGTAACGGAATCGCACTCGGGATACGGGGACCATCGAATGTACGCTGGGCATGTAGAAGAAATTGCGTCGTTCAAACTTTAAACACGATCGCAAATTTAACGTGTTCAAGATCGCGAGGGGAGCTCTCCGAAATGAACGGAAAATTTCACTTTTTTTCCGGATCGTAAGTAAACTTCAGTACAACCATCTTAATTATCGATGTCTACTTGTACCTCAGGTGGCATATCTAGTAATTTGGAGGCCGTTTTGAAGGTGAAATCTGATGTTTTTTGTTGGAAAATGTTGGTTTTTGGGACTGTCAGTGACTGTGTTGTCTAGGTCTCGGAATGGGCTTGGACCCTACTAGCCCCATAAATGTGGCCTATTTACTGGACTGCCTCCGTAAACATAGGCCACACGTCCACATGTACAAAAATCGTGTCGACTCTGCCAAATTTTGATTTTCACATTTAGGCTTAGTTTGTAGGATTTTTTTGCTTTAGAAGCATACTCACCCACTTTATAGGCTATTCAGAAAGTGCTGCCTTTTTCAGATGTCTAATTTTTTGTGAAATTTCATGTTGAAATTTTGATACGCAAACGTGTAAAAATGAATCTGGAAATTTCATGAAAAATATACATCTGAAAAAGGCAGCACTTTCTGATTAGTCTATAAAGTGGGTGAGTATGCTTCTAAAGCAAAAAAATCCTACAAACTAAGCCTAAATGTGAAAATCAAAATTTGGCAAAGTCGACACGATTTTTGTACATGTGGACGTGTGGCCTATGTTTACGGAGGCAGTCCAGTAAATAGGCCACATTTATGGGGCTAGGACCCTACTATCGCCAGACCATGTCCAAATTTTTAAAAAGGCGATAAGTTGGGTCCAAGTTACTCGGACTAATTGGTAACGTACATTGTCATGATTGTAAATTGTGTTTTACTTTTTAGTTTTGATTCATTTCAATGTTCATTACATTTGCACTGTTCCACTAGGCCTATAAACTGTGACTCTATTCTAACATAAATAATGACATTTCCTGTAAATTATTGTCAATAAACCAATATTAAGAACATGAATGATTGATATATGTTTTATTTAATAAGGCTAGGCATAAAACTAGTAATGACTAAACGATCATGAAATTAATAACTAAATCTTAAGCTCACAATTTTCCAATTCTCTTTTTTTCCCTTTTTTTTTTACCAACAGTGGTTATCCTTACGGCAGTCGACCGTCTGGTTCCCAGAATTGACAATATTCAACTTCAGAGTCTTGGTTCTTAGAACCACCCGACTACCAACCGAATGATTCTCGGACTTTATTTCCCTTTAAAAAGCCATGGATCACTAAATAAAAAGATAATATCTAGACCTAAAAAAATTCTCACAGTGCAAATTTGATCCATTGGGACCTTCGGCATGGTAGTCCATCATTTTACCAATCGAGCTACCGAAGCGCTGAGGTTGGAAGGGCAGTTATAAGTGACAAACATTTGCAATGGTGTTCTTGCAATGCCGTCACAATAGCAGTTGAAAACTCGCATTACGGCTGCCATTAATACAGCTACTAAGTTTTGAAAAACATATCACTATGTGCCTTAACCCTAACCCTCAATCCTCCAAAATCAATCTGGCTGTTTTAATTTTAGTGGATTTTGGAGGATTGAGGTTGTATGACATTTTTGTGCCAGTTGATTTTAGAGGATGCATTGTGTCACCTTGTGTTGTTTATGTTTAGCCATGCATAAATTATGCCCAGAATATACTAGATATCATCATTACTGCTTCTGGATATCATTATCATTGTTGACAATTCCTTGCATTGCAATGATTGTTGAAGGATTTTGAAGGATTGAGGCAGTGGTCTCCCCTACACTGAACAAATGCAAGCAATAACAGATGATTTTGGAGGATTGAGGCTGCATAAAAATGGTTAAATAATACAAAGTGGTAATTGGAGGATTTTGATGGATGGAGGATGGATCCTAGCCAAAAGGCAGTTAGGATGGATCCTAGGCGGTTACGATTCACGTATTTGTAACTTTGATTAGATTTGTAATTTGTTTGCCTTTCGCCTGCAGATAGAACACGCAACCCTTACGCACTGCAGTTACCAGAGGATGACTTGAACGACTGTAAACCAGCCTCCAGTATCAGACATGGCAAGCTTGTTGGGTGAGCAATAAAGTAATTTGGAATCTTCACAGCTTTATAAAGCAGAAATCAAGATTATTTAGATTTGTCCGTAAACCTTAATTTGTTGGCTTTAATTTACTGAAAACATAATTTCAATCGGTTCAAGACTTGTTGAGTTGTGGCGAATTTTAAACAAAGACACTGCTTTTTTTTTTCCATTTTGTCCATGGCGTCCGATGTTTGACCGCTGCAATGAGAACAAGGTCCAAAAACTTGCATCCATGAAACAACCAAGTAGAGGGCAGAGCAGAACAGTTACCATCTAAGAAATTAAACAAAACAGTCTTTTTCAGGACTACCATTTCTTCCAAAAAGAGGAAATGACCATTTTTACAAAAAGTAGAAAATATAAAAGAACCAAATAAGCAAGATTAAAAAATCATTGCATTCCTAATTAATTGTCAGACCGTGGACAAAATGAAAAGGCAAAACTTTTTTGAATTGTTTAGATAAATGTTTGTCCGATTGGAAATTTTTTGTTGTTGTTGAAAAGTTGATGAACTATGCTTTTTAAATATCAATATTTCTGATGTATTTTTGAAAAGCTGTGGCAAAGCGGGTGCTTTGAGGGTTCATTTTTTTGGGAGACACCCTGCAGATATTTTTTTTTTTTACTGTATGACAAATTATAGGCCAAAAAAAAAAATAAGTCTGGTCAGCGCGCGCGTCGATTTTAATCATGTGCGTCAATTTTTTTTTTTCTCCAAAATGTTCTGCGGTAGCTCCAACAGCGCCCTCTATTGCCGCACCTCCTCAATTTTTTTTACCAAACGGCACTAAGGAATGGGAAATTGCACCAAGGCAAATGATCGAGAGCACCAAGGCAAATTATGGAGGACACCAATGTACAATTCGTCGTGTGCCCGGCAGAAGGGCATATATGCATATGCCCTTATGCAATAGCGCGTAATGACCAAAATGTTCCCAGCAAAAGGGCATATGCAGAAAACTGCCTCCATTTTAATGAGATTTAAACATTTTCGTCAGAAATTAACGTGTATAGTTGTTCCAAAACTTATGATTCATACGTGTGACAAATTTCAAATTCGTACGATTTATATTACTTGTGGGAGAGCATTGGATACAAAATGCGCGCGGGGGAACAATAGGACCTTTCAATGCAATTTTCTTGAAAATGATTTTTGCGTCAGAACGCTCATATGCCCTTCTGCCGGGCACCCGACGAATTCCGCGTCGCCGCGTCAATTCCGGAACTTTGGTCTGACAAGAGACCGAATTTTTTTTGGGGGGGGCCATATTGCCATTTGAATTAGGCTTTTTTTGCTCCATATTTATTTATATCTGTTGTGTGAAACTTGCAGAATCTTTTTGAAATCATTGGAGACTTTTCTAGTTTCATATGGTGTCCAGAATCCATATGTATGAAGTAAAAAGACTCACATTAACATCCCAATCTCCATTTCGCCTTGCAAATCCCTGTTGTGCCAATTTTCAGCCATGTTTGGTAATTTCCTTGATACAAGTGAAAAGCTTGTAACTGTTTTTCAATTTGTTTGTGCTTGTACACCTATCAGTTATTCTGATGAGATTCTAGCCCACATACTGACCACAGAGACCGGCCTGTGTGACCACCGCTTTGAACTGACCATTGATGATGTGAAGTTTGTCGGACAGCCGACCCTCATAGTAGGTGGGGGCAGAAAACTGGTAAGAATAACTCAAAGGAAACATTTCAAGGCCAACCTTCCAAATTAAATGTTTATTTGCCATAATTTTAGGGAGGGGGAGGCAGGGCAAGAACATTTTAACTCAGGACCTCACGTCACAGTTTGCTCTTTTTCAAAAGTTGAATGATTTTGGATTTGCTTTTGTAAGTATGCCCATGCTACATTTACTTGTGTTCAACCTCTCTGAAAATCAGCGTATTTCTTCATTTTTGTTCCTTTTATTTTTTTTTAAAACAAAGTCTGTTGCACAGTGTATATCTGTTTCTTGTTTTGGTCCTGTTGTTTTCCTTTCCACCTTGGATTGTAACATTTTGTTCAATATGATACTTTCTATGGAAAGTCACTCCATGAAAGTATAAATCATTTCCTTTACTATTGAAATCTACAAACTAAGACCAGGGCCCAATTTCACGGCGCTGCTTAACAGTTAGCAGAAAAGTTGTGCTAAGCATAGCAGAAAAATGTGCTAACCTTAAGCACTATTTCACGCCGTGGACATGCTAACGGTCGCGCGTGCATGGAGATTTCTATTGTTACGTCACTACGTTAAGCAAATTTTTCCCCCGAAGTAAGCGTGCCTTTTGCTGTGCTTATGCTAACGGTCTCCATGAAATAGACGAAGGCTCTGTTAGCATAAAATTGTGTGCTTAGCAGCGCCGTGAAATTGGGACCTGGCAACTATCAAGATTGATGAACAGCTTTGTAAAGTGTACTCTGTATTTTGAAGATTTTGGAGGATTGAGGCTGAATGGCAAAAAAGTGTCGGTTGATTTTAAGGACACATTGTGACGAGTTCATAGGCTGTCCCCAGCATTGTTTATGTTCACTCATGCATAATTGAGCCCTGCATTATGCTCGATATCATCTGCGCTGCTTCTGAATGTCATCGGCACTGCCTCAACCCATTCACAGTGATTGTTGGAGGATTTTGAAGGATTGAGGCAGTGGTCACCCCTTCACTGAACAAAATCAAGAAATAACAGATGATTTGGGAGGATTGAGATGAATCCAATTTTACCATGGTAGCAATTGGAGGATTTTGTAGGATTTAGGATGGTTCCAAACCAAAAGGGCCAGGGGGAGTTATGGTTAAGTGTGTTGACATTTAGTAATTGTTTTATTCTTTTCATTCTTTCACAATTCGATACAGAATAACGTGTAAATTTTGTCATTGACAGAGGCGACATGATGAGAAGACTAGACGAGAGAGTCGTACCATGGCCATGTTCAACCTGGTCTTTGTACTCCATGTGAGTAAAAATTGAATTTTTTTTTTTTATTGAGTACAAGCCACATGGAGAACAACATTGGTAGAAACTAGGGTTATCAACAGGGGAAAGTTGTACTTTTTAACCCTAGCTCATTTTTGTTAGGAACCTTCTTAAACCCTTCAAAATCCACAACTGTGCAGGAAACCAGTGGTACATTCTGTGTACTGAAATTTTCTAGAAGTATCAAGTCTCACATCAAGTAGGAAGGGCTCGGCTGTAATGTCCTCAATCACGTGAAATCTTCCCAAGCTTTTTGGTAGATGTTGTAGTATGAAGGGGAGTTACCGGTTGAAGAAGTAACTGGTCTTGTCATGTTCATTTCAGGCCAGTGCGGATCCGTCAGTGGTTGGGTGCTATCATGATCTCAGCAAGCGTCTAGTCCTGGCTCTCAAGCATGAGGAGAGACGATGCGGCTATCTCAGCCACCAAGCCGTCCTGATGATGTCAGCTCATGACGAGGTGGCTGCCATGCCTGAAGGTAAGGATCCATCCAGAACCAGCCTTCCTCTTTGGAACTTTACACGTGTTCCCTCCGCTTTGCACCCATCCCACACCCTTTCCCGTCCCGTTGTTTCCCTACCCCTTTGAACTCCAGTCATTAAGCTGTCTTGATGATGTCAGCTCATGACGAGGTGGCTGCCATGCCTGAAGGTAAGGATCCATCCAGAACCGGCCTTCCTCTTTGGAACTTTACACGTGTCCCTTCCGCTTCGCCCTCATCCCACACACTTTCCTGTCCCGTTCTTTCCACCACCCGTCTTCGAACTCCAGCCATCAAGCTGTCCTGGTGATGTCAGCTCATGATGAGATGGCTGATATGCCTGAAGGCAAGGATCCATCCAGAACCAGCCTTCCTCTTTGGAACTATACACATGTCCCCTCCGCTTTGCACCCATCCCACACACTTTCCTGTGCCTTTCTTTCCACCACCCGTCTTCGAACTCCAGCCATCAAGCTGTCTTGATGATGTCAGCTCATTACGAGGTGGCTGCCTTGCCTGAAGGTAAGGATCCATCCAGAACCAGCCTTCCTCTTAAGAACTTTACACGTGTCCCCTCCGCTTCGCCCCCATCCCACACCCTATCTTCTGCCTTTCTTTCCACCACACCTCTTCAAACTCCAGCCATCAAGCTGTCCTGGTGATGTCAGCTCATGACGAGATGGCTGCTATGCCTGAAGGTAAGAGAGCATCCCAGAACTGGTCTCCTTCTTTGGAACTTAACACCTACATTTGTACCCCCTGCCCGTCGCCCCAACCCATACCCTTTCCTGTTCCTTTCTTCACCCCTCTTGAACCCTTACCCTGTCAGACACAGTGCATCAGGTGGAAAAGATCTGGTGAACTTTGATGCATTCAGCTACCAACACCAGTGCACAAACGGCCACTTCTGAAACAATGAGAGCTAATCCCATAGCACAGTGCCACAGTTGTAGCCTGCTGCATTCCGTGACCACAGACTCTGAGGCCGTTTGGCCTTGAGACGTTTGGCCTGATGGATCTTGCTGCACTAGGCAGACTTGTCACTTAGATAAATGTTGCATGTTGCTGCTTTTGGTACTGTTAGGGTTAAGGTACATAATAATAATAATAATAAAACCGTTCTTATTAAGCGCATTACACACGGAGTCCCAATGCGCTGTACAAATTAAAAATAGGACAAAAATTAATCAGAATTGAACAAATGTGTTTTGAGGAGGCATTTGAATTGGTCCAGACTTTGTGCGTCTTTGATGCTTTGGGGGAGTTTGTATGTACCTACAGTGTATATTGAACATTTCGTTATCGTTATCTGCCTACAGATGCAGAGGAATCGCCATTTTCCATCATGCTGCAGAAGAGCAAGCTTTGCCGGGACCTCCGACATGTATTCAATGGGTATGTTGTCTTTTGACAGTCAATTGTACCCCATCAACCTCTAGTAGATGTGAAGGAAGAAAGAAAAGCAAATGCAGTATTGAATTTGTCATCCTCTGGACTTTTTTGCCATACTTTTCATTAGCGATGTAGCCAGCGTTCTCACCATAGGGGGCGAGTGGTGGGAGCAATTTCTGTAGCACCTGTGCTGAAAGGTAGACCTTTTTTTCACTGGTCACCCGGCCTCCGTAAAATCAAAGGGTGAAGGGGGGGGGAGAGAGTTAGATGTACACCATCTTCTATGGGGGTGGCCTTCAAAGCGGACACTATCAGACAATAGGTGGCGCTCTTCATGGCGGCACAATTAAAGCATAGACATATAATATAACCTAGACACGACATTAACTGCTGCGTCACGCGGCCTGGCGCGATACGCGAATGTCATGCGGCTTCGATCTACGCGCATACTTCACACGTGTACCACATATGTTCATGCCAGCGCCAACGCACTTGTGCACCCCTTAGTATTTTTTCCCGCATGCGTACGGGACCAAAAGATTTCAAATAGCACGCGCAGTGAGACCGCTCTCTTGCGCGACACGTCACACCCATTATGAGCGTTCGCGTAATGCACGCAGCATTTTACTTGCATGCGCAATAGCAAACGTCGTGTCTAGGTTTTATTATATGTCTATGAATTAAAGATGTTCTCACAAGGTTAAAAAGGGCCACTCGTGAAAAAAAAGGCCGCTCGTGAAAAAGGACTAGCAAATTTCCAGTGGGGGACTGATGATTTCTTTCGGCTACACCGCTGATTTTGTTCTTCTTACTGAAATCAGCTGCAGTTACTACTGTCGAAATTTACATTTTGAGTAAATAACTTACTGGCCAATTACAAAGATGAATGCATGTAGACAACAGGAATACTTACGTTTTGATTGATATTTTTTGTGGACAGATTGTGTGATAAGGGTGTGATCCACGTCTTCATCAATAATTGGATTGAAGTCAGCTTCTGCCTGCCTCACAAAGTGCACAACGTGGATCAGATGGTCGTCATCGACGTAAGAATATTTACGATATGGCTTGTGAAAAAGCCATGTTCATGTGGCATCAAAACCTATAAAGATTTATTCATAAATACCTAACTAAGTCAGTTTACCCATTCCTATTGGTCGAGAGCCCGTCACGTGGCCGGTTTTAACATTTGAAAATAAAGACATGGCTGGCTGGTCTTAAACACTTCTCCAGTGTCACATGAAATTTTGACTCCTGCGAAATCCGGTGCCAGCACCGTTATCGGTTGAACATTCACAATCCTCAAGTAGGCATGTGCGATACTACCAGTGAGTCAGTATTTCATAGTCCTAAATTCACACTATGGTACATCTTCGTTGTGCGCCACATCACGCAGTACGCGCAACGCACGCGTCAAGCTCCATATAAGGAGTTGTTTACCAGAGGGCCTTACCATTGTATAGCTAGAGGGGTATTTTGTTGATTGAAATCATTGCAAAAAAATTTTTTTTACTTGTTTTGACTTTTGGACCAAAAACTTTTGATTTTTTTTAACGAACAGGCCTTCTGCTCGGGTAGTTATCAACATCCAGACCCCAACTGGTCTTAAACAGAGTGTTTAAAATCTCCAAAGCACAGCTATTCCCTTATTCAAGAAGATCAATAGGTGTGAACGCACCGATCACATGTCTTGTCACTGTTAACAGGGAGAAAAGTAACAAATGATTCCCCTGGTCACAGTTCAGTGGAATAACTTGTCAGTTGACTTTAGACCGGATCGTGATCGACTTGTGATGACATGTAATAGCTTGATTGTTATTCTACTCCTTAATGCCCTGTGACTCCAAAGAAGACTCATTACCAGGTACAGAAAAGCCACTGTCACCACATGCTTTGAAGTTTTTGCCTCACACCCCATTTTTCTTGAAGACATGAAATCTTCCTCCTTATTAAACTTTCCATCCTGCAGAAGTGACTAGAAAATCAGAATCCTAGACCTATGAGCCACAGCACCTTGCTCAATTTTCAAATAAAACATCCTTACCAGAACCTGACCTATTTTTAAAAAATTTTGGCCAAATCCGTTTAGGGTCCCCTTCTTGAAAATGAAGACCCCCTATTTGCCCCTTTGCAAATTTGATGCCAGTTACGCCGCTGCCTGCAAATAGCATTGCAACACTATTATGCTTTCCTCCATCAGCCCACGATGATAGAGCAGAGCCTTCTTGCCATCAGACCCTACCACGCCCTGCTCCTCCTGGAGGATGAGAAGGAACTACAGCAGTCTCTTCCTAAGGATTGCTCACCGTCTCTGCGCCGCGTCATCAAGTGGTCCTCACCGTTGAACAGTCTGCAGAGGCTCAGTCAGGACACCGATCTAGCTCTGTCTCAGGTATGGCCTGTGTGCATAAAGTGCGTCCCAAAATACCCGCAACTTTTTTTTGCGTGGCTCTAGCGTCGGCGCAAAAACACGTACCGCCACTGTTTTTATACCATTTTGATGCTTGGAATCTGAACTTTATCCCTGGCGAGTATTGGTTTGATATTTAAAAGAGTTTTAAAATTGTTCGTGTTCAAATAAAGGCATGTCAAAAACAAACTCAACCGATTTCAAGGAAAATCGATGTTGTGGTTCATTAGATGCAATTTCGGGTCACACTTTGAGCGCGCTTTTTGAATAGGTACATGCTTGCACGTGAATTTCAAAATTGAACTTGAAACGAAGAACAATATTGTGAATTAATTTAAGGTGTAGTACGTGGATAGAAAAAGAATAGGAAACGCAGAAATAAAAAGGTAACGAGATTGTCACATCACGAACATGATGAACCGTTTCCACATTAGAAAAAATGAGCATGATTGATTTTCTGTGAAATCGGTTGAGTTTGTTTTTGACATGCCTTTATTTGAACACAAATCATTTCAAAACCTTTTTTAAAAATCAAACAAATACTTACCAGGGATAATTTAAGATTCCAAACTTTACAATGATATAAAAATAATGGCAGTTCGCGTTTCAACGGAGACTCTAGAGCCTCGCAAAATTATGTTGCGGATATTTTGGGACGCACTGTAGAGATTTACACGAGTCTAAATCAAAATCACAAGTAATCACAAGTCATAACACAAGTCCATTACGTGTCATATCACAGATCATATCATAAGTCCTCGCAAGTTATATCACAAGTCTATCATAAGTCAGTCACAAGTTGTCCAGTCCCTGTCGAGTCACACGCTTTTCAAATCAAGTGTTTCTTCCTTCGTTACTTGTAACTGAACTTGTGATGGACTTGTGAGGACTTGTATGGCCATGTGATGCACTTGATTACAACAGTGTTCTCATGATTACGTTCCCATTTTGAAGGTTAATAACAGTGTTGTAGTTGAGACCGGATAGTCCGAGACCGAGACCTGAAGTTTCGAGACCGAGACCAGCCCCTTCAAGGCGGACCGAGACCGAGACTGATAGGGTCCGGGTCCGAGACCGAGACCGCGGATAATCAATAACAATAATCTAAAAAAAAAACAAGACACACAGTTTACAGTTGTAAGTTGTAACCTTTGTATTCACAAAGATTGCAGACAAAATTTTGACCAGTGGCAGTGTTGAAAAATTGACATATACATGACACCTCACTTGAGCAAGAAGTAGTTACACGTGCAGTCCGAACCAACTATAGTATATAAAGATTCGTTAACAAGGTTGACAACATGATCTACGGGCTAGCAAATGTTTTAACTATCAACGGTACTGAACAAAGTGAACACAAAGTAATCAATCGAGCTCTAAATGCTACATATTGCCGGTCTCGACCCGAGATTAGCCAAAATATCGAGACCAAAGGGGACCAAGACCAAGACCGAGACCACAGCTCCCGAGACCGAGACCAGCAAAAAAGTGGTCTCTGAGACCGGTCTCGAGATAATTTAAGGCTCCTCAATAAAAAATGTTGTAAATGAATTGGAAAAAAAATACACTTGAAGTAATGGACAACACTTCCTACATTTGTTGCTTATGAAACTCATCATTCTTGCTCTAAAAACTTATCCATTTTCAATTTTTCTTCTTTCAGGTCTTTCAGATTGTCGGTCACATGGTGTACTGGGGCAAAGCGACTATCATCTACCCAATCTGTGGGAGCAATGTGTATATCTTATCACCAAGGGCTCCTACGTCAGCGTAAGTCAAAACTAAAGCAGAGAAATCTGTGAAACCTAACAAGGCCTTGCTTTCAATTGAAATATTTCAAGAAGAGATTCCTGTCAATGGATAAAGCTTCCAATAATCCAACCATTCACACTCAACGAGTATGTACACAGATAATTTGAAAGTTTGGGTGGTGAAGTCAGTTTAAAGAGTAAGTTTCAAGTTTGGTTTATGGTTTATGGTTTATTTAAAAACATGACATATAGCAGTTACAAACTGAATTGCATGACATTTACAACATTAAAAAAAAAACAATTATGAAGCACAAATAAATATAAAAAGTACATGTATTTAGCCTTTGAACGTTAAAAAAAGCCTCCTCTGCATTCTGTACGAGGATAGAGTCTCGGCCTTACTTGAAATACATTTCTTTAGAGAAAAAAGTTTTGCAGTTGCACCATATTGTAGCAAAAACCACTTTAATTTGTTGTCTAGTAGGAATGGAATGATTTGTAGTACTATTGATACTCGTGCCAGCTGAAAAGTCATTCACTAGACATGTTCCTTCTAAAATTATTTTTGTGTTACTTTCACTTAATAACTGCCGGATCCCTGAGTAGGTTTCATTACAATATGACACAAAATCTCTGGAAAAAGTGGAAAACTCAGTATTTGGCAGTATGCACTGCCCATCATTTAGCAGATTGAACAGAGAAGTGGAGAGTTTTGTTTTGGATATTTAACTTTGAAAAATTGATATTGGGGTGCCTTCATCATAAAAAAAGCTCATTTCTTTCCTGAAGAAATGAAAATCATGATCCTCTAGTTTGGACTTACTTTTTTTCTCATCAAGTCAGCTGTGATAATAAAGCACTTCTAGTTGTGTAGTCATGACTAAGATTTTATCGATGTCCATCCAAAAGATGTGTTAAGAAACTTGTTTATTTCTAAAATTTCCTTCGCAGAAATTCCCCGTACCATGAAGAGTTCCGTGACATCACAGCAGGAGGCTTCCTAACAGAGGCGCTGGCTGCATTCTCACAGCCAACTCCATTCAGCGATGTGATGAACATTGGAGAGAAAGAGGTCAAAAGTGGCACCTTAACCCTTACACCCCCCTCCTTAACCTTACCCCCCCCCCCCCCCATGCATCCTCCCACACCCACACCTTAGTCTTATCAATCCCTGCCCACAGACTAGTGGTAGGATAGGAGTATAATGACAAATTTGTGACCTGTCTCCACAAAATAAGCCAAAAGTTGCAAATTGCCATTTTTGCAGTATGGTGGGCCACAGCCATAATTCAAAAACATTTTTGTTTCCTTTTTTATATTTTTTTTGTACAGGCATGAGAATCTTCCTGTTTAAACAGGAATTCCTGTTTGTTTGTTGCCCAAATTTCCGCGTTTTTTTTTAATTTTAAGCCTGTTTGGGGTTTTTTTGCCCGATTTCACATCTTTGTTCCTGTTTTTCCACAATTTTCCTGTTTTTTTTCATTGAAATTCATTCTCATGCCTGTTTGTAAAAATGTCACAAAAGCCTCCAAATTTATTACATAATTGCTTGACTTCCATGGAGTTGTCGGTTTGTATTTCTGTTACTGAACTCAGTATCCTTAAATGTTGCATATCATTGGAAAAGCTGTTGTTTTTCAGAACACAGAAATACAGGTATCTTGATTCTTGAAAAATCTGCTTTTGAGCTCATTTCGTGGCGAAAGTCACTTTTGTGACTGCATTCTGTTCATGATGTCTTTGTGAGATCATTGAAGTTGGAGGACCCGACACTTTCATCCTCGTATCAGAAACCTTCTTAAATATTCTGAGAAATATTTTTTATAGGATGAAGATGCCTGGCCTTCTAGTCCTTTACAATTGATACATGTCAGTCAGCAAGTAGTCTGCTGTAACATTTTTATTCCTCGTGAAATTTTGTGTTGACAGAATGAGGCTGAAAAGGTGAAGATTCTGGTCTGGCTGCTGCAAAAGAGACTTCTCATACAGGTAGATCAATTTCTCTTAAAACAGTACAAGCGGAATTAAATATCCATGTTTTGCAGCAAAAGGTGACCTGTACAAAGAATTTGTTAAAAACAAATTCTGTGAAAAACAAATTCTGCATTCAGGAAGGTTCCTTGCAGAAATGACACAGGAGTTAAAATTTACTCGTAAAAAAACAAACTGTCTTTCTTTGTGATTCTGCGATGACAAGTATAGACTCCGTGTATGAACAGTAGAGGGCACTTTTAGACCGCTTTTCGAGAGCCCCGTGGACAGAACCAGGGGCGGAGATTTGTGTCACAAAGTGGGGGGATGATCACAATTTTGGAGGTAAAATCCCCAAAAAGTGACCCTGAAAAAAATTTGCGCCTGCAAAATATTTGAAAAGGGAAGGGGTTTGAGACTATTCGCAGATTGAGGGCGCTATTTAATAAAGGGTGTTGGAAATTCTGGGGGGATGATTGTATACAAGATCCTCCCCCTTGCCCAAAAAGTTGGGGGGTGGAGATATGCCCCCCCCCCCCCCCTCCCTCTCCGGGATCTCTGCCCATGGACAGGACGCACTGTGTGCGCGTACTCGTTCGCAGGTGCATAGCAGGAATTATGCACAACTTATTTTTTTCTGTATGTGTACAAAGGTATAGTGACTTCACGTGAGCGTGAAGCAGTGCATTATAGTCCCTTCCAGTGGTCTCCCCCTTCTCTTCCAGTGTAGCCATTGAGAGGGTACTTGTGCACGGAGACCAAAGCCCCACTTTCAATTTGAATCATTGAACAACCACGTATTGTTTTCAACTGATCCTGCTTACAGCTTCATACGTACGTATTCCTGATGATCCCTACTGAGAGGCCCACCCAGCTTGTTAATCTTCAAGACAAGCATTCCAGGCCGTCACCATCATCGTCGTCAGCCTCACAAGACAAGAACAGCTCAGCCAGTACCAACCCCTCACACCACGGCTCCACGGGAAACGTGGCGGATAACATGTCAAGTAAAGCTGCCTTTCCATATTCATGTTTGCAGTCCGTTTTGCCTATAATAAGCAATGAAACTGCACTAGTAAGCAGGAGGTCATGGGTTCAAGTCCCCGAGTAGTTTGTGATTTTTTCTTATAATCACTTGGGTAAAAAAGCCGAGTATACTGTTGAACCCTGATAAGAAGAGCACTGTAATGCAACATCCTGCTTATAACAAGCAAAATGTTAGGCCTGAGGCTTTGTTTTTCCTTTTTTCTTCCTTTGTTTTCCATTACTGATAATACAAGGTACCTGCTATAACAAGGTAATTTGTAGAGTCCCAAGGACCTTGTTATAAAGGTGTTCGACTGTACAGTGTTTGTAAAGTAATTTGATGAAGGGCATTATCCAATACTGAATGTACATCACCCCGACACAAAATTTCATCTTTGGAATAATGCAAATATGGTGTGTAATTAAGTCACTCATGACAGTCAGTGAGATAGGTATATGAGTCTAAGTCACGAATGACATTGAGTCAGTCGGTGAGACGCAAAAAGGACTCCACGCTGGCCCTCTGGGACTAGCCAAAGAATCCATTATCATTAAACAACTAATCTAGGAAATCTTTTTGTTTCAGTGGATTCAGATGAGCTGAGCACCAGTCTGGATTCCTACTCTACCCTCTCTCTAGACAATGAGGGACACGGTCACAGCAGGCAGAAGTTCATGGATATGCTGAAGGAGAACCTGACTGAAGCTGAGAGACAGTGCGTCATGAACGTCCCTGCCGCCAAGAAACCGGAGGATCTCAAACTGTTTGCAAGGTGAGGAATAATGGGGAGGTTTCGCAAGCGAACGGATACGCTTACACTTACGTTTAGCTATACGTATCCGTTTTTTACTTACGCGTAGCGAGCGAGATATGCGTGTCGTCTGCACGTTTAGCGGATAGTGAGTGGCATTGACGTCATACGTGCAGACGACACGCATATCTCGCTCGCTACACGTTAGTAAAAAACGGATACGGATAGCTAAACGTAAGTGTAAGCGTATCCGTTCGCTTGCGAAACCTCCCTACTGTGTTGTCTGAGAACACTGATTAGCTGAAATGTACCCTTACTGCCTGTCAATCACAGAATGGGTATTTGAAACACTAATGAATGATTTTCAGTCTGAAGCACCAGTCATTCAGCAACCTACCTAGGCTTTCTTTAAAGTTAAAGGGAATATACAACATTTGCTTTTGCTGTAATTTTCAGAAATTGATAGATTTAGGGTTTAGTATTATATTGCAAATATTGTTACAGTGACTGAAGTTTTGTGTGCATTGATGCTGGAAAAACCAAGAAAAACTATCATATTCCTGTAGCCTGGTTCCCTGACTCCACTTAAGGTCAGGGAACCAGTCTAGTTGGCTTGTACCCGTTCATAGGTGTGTAATTGATTGCAAACAAAATGCGGACTTACTAAATATGGTAAATTGGGGGCAGTATTTGACAAAAAGTCAGTTTTTTTCCAACGCTGGTCGGCCAACCAGCGTTGGAAATTTATACAAAAATACCAATTTTCTTGAAAATGACAGCACACCAGGTGACCAGATTTTACAGGATGCTTTAGACTGTCCATCTTTAACAGAATAATTTGGTAGTTTTTGTTTTGTTTTGATGTTTGCAAATGTTGTATATTCCCTTTAAAATATGGGATGGGATAGGTTAATGTTCTTGAAACGGGAAGGCCAATACAGATTACATTGCAGGTCATCCATGCTTCAGTTTTTAATTAGTATTTTAAGCAAAACTTTTTCATTTTACTGTAATTATTCCAATTTTTTATTATCCCAATTTTTATTATCCCAATTATCATAGGCTTTGTCCCTACTTCCGCGGTCGTCACCACCTTGAAGAGATCATGTACTATGAGAATGTCAACCGATCCCAAGTCTACATGCTCCTGGAGAAGTTCAAGCAAGTACTGGTGGTCTGTACCCACCAAGACGCGGCTACAGTGGCTTACAAGGAGTTCCTATAGCATTACGCTGACGGTGGTTGGAGCTCATTTGGCAATCAGTGAAATATATATCTTATTCTGGACTGGAGTCTAAACTTGTGTCAGAATTTTATATTCTACCTCGAGTATTTCGCTCAGAGTGAGCAGGGAGAAACAATTTGAGACATCTCGTAGACAACTTCAAATTATCTATCCCCAACTAAAATAGAGAGGTAATGCATTAGCTCAATACTGTTGGAGCTTTTGATGAAGCAGTTCACAACACAGGAAAATGGACCGATGCTCAGATTAGTTTTGACTGAATTTAGGGAGTTTATCACAGGGTTTCCACAGTCCTGGAAAAATCTGGGAAAATTCTGGGAAAATCCTGGAATTTAAAGCTATCATGGAAAGTCATGGAATTTCACAATGAGTAAAGTTGAGATTTCAAGAAAAAAGTCATGGAAGAGTCATAGAATCCTGCACAACCCATGCGTTATGATGTGAAATATTTGGCTATGGCGGTCCTCATGGATTTCAGTTTACTTCCTCTGTATGTATGCTCCATATTTGTGTTACACGTTCAGTGCACCGTTGAGATGCTTTTGTGGTGCTCAGTGGTCTTGTGTCAAACTGCAAAGCTGAAAGGCAGTGGTGTCCCTTGCCTCAGTGTGATGAGTTGCCAGTGTATTATAAATAGGCTTCTTGGATTCCAAAACAGCTTAGGAATTGGTCATGGAAAGACCTAATTTTGTCCTGGAAAAGTCATTGAATTTTAGTTTGAGATTTTTGTGGAAACCCTGTTATCAAAAGACCTTACCCTACCAACCATGTTCTAAAGGTGGTGTATAAATGTGAATGTAATGTAACGCATACATACCTAGGCAGCATTCTATTTAACTATGTTAAATGGGTACCGACATTATTCAATGCTGGGAAGGTAACAGACTCGCTGTGGAGCAGCATTTTATGACTCGAGTCTGGCCCAATCGCTTTGAAAGAGAGATGGGCACTCCGTTCCTGTGAACACAGGTTCGTCGTCCCCCCCCCCCCTTATTTAACTCATTGACAATGGAAAAAAACAGGGGGAAAAATCACAATCAAGTTCCCTTGACGACTAATTTTAAATCATGCAAAAGTGTCCCGAAATATTTTTTTGTCCAACAGAAAAATGTATGTTGTTTACTTGTAAAAATTGTACATAGAAAAAAAAAGAAATGTAAATTTTTTTATTTGAAACATAAAAATTTAAAAGCCACAAAAATTTTACCAGTTTGCAAGAGTTTTAATGTTCCATAGCTTACTTCATTTTTATTCAAAATTGATTCACAGTAGGTTACCCGTATAAAGTCTTTCCTGAAGATGAAAACAGATCTTAACACTCATAAAAACTTCTTGCAATTCTCTTCCTGTATGCACATCATGAACTTGTTTTTTGTCCTAGTTACTTGTTCATGTTGACCGAGGAGGAAATTGCATTTTGTATCACTGAATACAATTTTTTTCTTCAAACTACAGAGTTGCTGCTTTGTAATTTTCATAATTTAAACAAATCATCTGGATGAATACACAAAACGCAGGGCCATAAAGAAGTCCCTGTTGCACTTACATACTTAGCTGAAAATAGGGGTTTGCATCGGACCCGAGTACCCGACCGTTGATGTCAGGAACCAGTTCCAGATTATGGAAACAAGTACCGCAATTAACTTTACATATTACTTAGTAAGTTATCAGACAATGAAAAAGAAAGGTTTTGAATGTCATTTATGTGGAATTTTCAAAATGAAAACCAGGCTACATGGAAAAACAAAACAGATCCACGTTTATGATGCTTGCGAAAATGCAACTTGCACCGTAAAGTTAAAGAGCTCACTGTACACACTTGTATTTTGCTGTATTGACACACAGATGTGGTAGTATTATCGTGCGGACCTTTATGAACAATGTGAACAGCAAATTCTGAGATTTAAATTTTGGGTTGGGTTTCTTCAACGGGTACCCGTGTTGTTTTTTTCACTTGGGTACCTGATTCCCATACTACCCGTAAATGCTCACCCCTAGCTGAAAAATTAACACAAATTGCTATATTTACCTCATTATCTTGATCTTTTTACATGATCAAAGTGAGAATGATCTTGAATAACTTCACATTGAAAACCAGTGCATTTATGATGGTCTAAGTATATTTCATTTTCCGATTTCAGTCAAATTTTACAACATCACCTTAAAGTGTTTTGCATTGATCAAGAATTCCCTGCAGCCTTCTCTGCAGCCTTCTCTGCTTCCTTGTCCTTCTTGCTGATGCACACATCACCCCTGACGTAAAACCTCAGAGGTTTCTTCACCCATTCTGGAGTCGCGTAATCCACTCCGATCCTAGGGCACGCTATGATGTCCCCCTCCTTGATCTGACCCTCTCCCCTCTCCGCCCACAAAGCAGGGCTGGTGGCCAAGCTGATCTGTAGGGGTGTAACGCATCACGATAGTTACGATATGAAATGCAGCAATACGTTGTCGCGATTTTTAAAAAAATGTATTGCGATGCTTGGCTATGAATATACTTAGCAAATAAACTTGAACATACTATAGCTTGTCTCACAAAGAACCTAACCAATTGATAAAGGTATATTGCATGTGAGTTTTGGACTATTTTCAAATTAACTTTTTAATGTCAGATAACCTATCTACCATACAAACTTCATTTCATTCAAATCGATGCATTGGAACAAACGCTATATGCTTCATCGAACTCGAGGGTTGAAAATCACAAAGGATGGGTCAATAGTGTGTTAGTGCAGCTTATCAGTTTATCATTTGAACAAAGCTTCAACCCGAGTACTGCTATTCGAGTACGAGTACTTTGAGGATCGAGTACGAGAACCGTCATTTCGAGTACGAGTACTTTGACATTAAAGTACGAGTTTGAGTACGAGTACTCCAAAAAAAGTACTCGAGTAGTACTCAAGTACGAGTACTACAACACTGGGGCAACCTGTATTTGAGGCATAAGAAGCTGAATTTGTAGAAAGAACATCTTGTGAGTGCAACCAACCATGTTAAAATGTACCTCCAAAATGCAAGTTGAGAACACAAAAGGATGCTGTGGTGGTGTTTTAGCATTGCACACATTACGAAAAACAGAACACTATGCATATGGACTGTATGTGGACAACTTGAGTCCATACATGACAAATGGCTACCGTAACTACCAAAAATTTCAGCTCGGGATACATATTGCAATATGTATTGTATCATGACCTCAGTAGTGTTTCATCCCAACTGACCTGGTTTATTTCGGCCTTGGTTATCTGGAGTGCCTCTGTCAGCTTGCCCGGTCCATTGCAGAGGTCCTTGGTCTTGAGTTCTTTGGTCGGGTTCTTGCGCCGTTTGTCGCGGAATTTGCGCATCGTCGGGATGCCCTCCTTGGGTTCCAAGGCTCGGATTAGTACTGCTTGTCCATCACCTTGGTTACAAAATACAAAAAGAATCGGGTATGGTGAAATAATATATCTGAGAAAACAAAAGTGAATAATAAAGTTATTGAAATCAGATTTGTTGGTATATACCACACATGACTCATTTCACACTATTGACAGCCACATTGCGTCACAGGGCACATGCTGTATTTGCTAGACTTGACTCAAGTCGTAATTGCTTTAAGTCTGTATCTTAAAGGGCACTGTGTCCTGAAATCCCCCTAAATGTTATGTTTTGGATTGTTTACTTACCAAACATCTGGTTGAAAGGAAACCAACCTAATGTCTTACCGTATCCGAGAGTATGATTCGTGTTTCCTGCTGTTTTCTTACAAGGTACGATACACATTGTGTGTGTCTAGTATTGTAGTGTTACACACGTATACAGCACAAGTGCTCAGGAACAGCAGTGACCAATCACCAATGCACAAAATGTGAACAAAGAAGCGCGTACGCTTGGCAGATTGACGAAGTCTGGGTTACTGCATCTATAAAAATAACACGTACATATATGTTTTTAACATGTTGGTCTGGATTTGACGCATGAGGGTGCGCGTTATGATACGGAGTGTATACGTATGCGCTATGCGTATACATTTACTATAGATACAGACCGAGCGCAACCCAGACTTGGGCCAAGTCTATCTATTTGCTTACCCTTGCTGGAGATATTGAGGCAGTCATACATGCCATAGATGAGATACACATAGCAGGTGCCAGGAGTCATATACATGGCTTTCACGCGATCCGACCTACGACCCTCGTAGGAGTGGCTCGCTGAGTCCTTTGATCCCAAGTATGCCTCCGTCTCGACGATGGTGCCGGACAGGCGCTCCCCGCTACTGAGCACGTGCACTAACCTCTGACCCAGGAGTGACTTGGCCAAGTCCTCGCAGGGCTTGTCAAAGAATGAGGCTGGCAATCTTGCATCATCTAGGTGACAAGAATATTCAATGTGAGATACGACAGTTTTTGTCGCAGACGAATCCCGGCACGTGATCACTGTACACTCATGAGGCCCCCTACAATGGAGAAACCATTGTGTACGCTATTGTACAAAGCAACTGCCCTGTGACAGATTATCTGAACAAAAGCTAGAGCAATAGCTAGCACAATGCTTTCACCATTGAAGGGGGCCTCCGTGATAGAATTGATGGCGTGCCAGGATTGGTCTACAGGGATGCAGTTCATAGCCATTTCCTGAAGCTGGTTTTCTTAAAGAAAAAGTAGACTTGCAAACAGGTCAATTAAAAGTCATTACACAAGTTCGTTACAAGTAACACAATGAAGAACGGAATACATTTTAATATGTCAGTTCATTTAAACAGCTTATTAACAAGACTGGAAAACGTGTGATTGACTTGTGATGACTCATGTTATTTGGCTTAAGTTCAACTCTGTAAAAAGTTTAAGAAGCTCACTATGGGAGCTGAGTTGTAATCCTCCCCCACCTTAAGATATCTGTGAAGAATACTTTAAATTGTCTTCTTTTTTATTATTGTTATTCACTAGTGAGCTGGGTGTCTTACAACTGATCAGTGCGCCCTCAATGGACCGATCCAGTAAGCACCGCCCCATGGTATTCTGACCAATCACAGTCGTGATTTATGTCCGACATGCGTGCACAAAAGTCCGACATGCGTGCACGCACGTATGACGCGCGCGGCAGGAAAATGCAGTGTGGCATTGGAGAGGAGCACGTGTTAATTTGTCACGTGCGCAGTGGGAGGGGCTTACTGGATCGGTCCATTGACGTATTTTTGAGTCGGGTTTCAAAATGCATATTCATATCATACAAAGTCGTACCATCGACAGTTAAAGGGTATTTTGGCACATTTTTCATCATGAACGTTATGTTTTGCGTTCTAGTGATACGTTTTAGAGTGTTTTCATAGAGATAATGTCGTTGTATTTAACTACTCAAAGTCTGAAAGAAACAAATTTGCCCAAAAAGCCAAACAAAACATGCTCTTTCTTTTTTTTTATTTGCATGTGCCAACCGTGACTTCAGAGGACATTGAAATCGGGGCATTCAACTTAAAGACCTGTGTACAATAACCAAGCCTCTCCATTTACCGTTGCATTTTGTGCTTGCGTTTTACAAATATAACGTGACACACGGACAGCACGACAGACTGACAGACATCAGACAGACAGACATCAGACAGCGTAGGATCTTTTAATATAGGATTAACTCACTCTTCTTTGAAGCTTTGGAGACTTTAGCTTTAGCTCTAGAGAAGTAAGGACTCGTAGTACCGGTACTGCTGTTGTTGCTGCCGCTGCTTCTTCCAGAATCACTGCTTGCACTGCCCTCGTGTTTCCTTTTGTGACCTTTCCGTGGTCCTGGCATTGTGCTAAGGCCCGGGATTCTTTGCTAAAATAATAATAATAATAGAACAATGTAACAATTTAATATTTTTTTTTACATTTATAAAGTGCTGGTTGCGCAAAAGCATATAACATAATAAAGTAATCAAGATGAAAATTAAACTGACAACATAAGAAGTAAAACAATCACAATGATCAAAATTCAAGCATACGTAAAAATATTATGTTGCAGTTTTTCTTATTATGAGTTCAGCATGGGATTTTTACACAACTTTGCAACAGGAAAAGTGGATAATAAATGTACATAATACATTATTCAAACCCCCGTGAAATCCTTCAAAAGCAATATGTTACAATACTTAGTACCACTACCAGCAAAATGTTTTGTTTCCTTTCTATGAAGATTTTGCAATACAATTTACTTACAAGTAAATCTGTATACTTTGGACTTTGGAGTATTAAGTAAATATTTGAATTCCAAATGACCTCAGAAAAAACGCCGTCAGCAAAATCAGTAAATTGTTTGCAGTGACAGCATGATTGCCACACATCTTAAAGCTAATTTTTGTTTTCTCTTTGTCCGAGTAATTTGGACCCAAATTATCGCCTTTTTAACATTCGGACATGGTCTGGCGATACTATTGTGCGCACCAGACCATGTCCGAATGTTAAAAATGCGATAATTTGGGTCCAGACTAGTTTTCTCTCAAGTTCTGTTTTAATTTGCATTTCCCGCTCAGTTACAGTTAGTAATTTCAGTGGTAAATCAAGTTCCCCTAGGAAAAAAAACTTGCTGTGTTATTTAACACCATCGCTACTTCTTGAACTAAGTGATGTTGTCCTGACGCACAACGTTATGTGAAAAATAAAGTAATTAATTGAATAGAATTTAATTGAAAAAACAAAAATAGATGACACTCGGTGCCTTTTACTTTTGGTTCTACGCAACGTAAACCATCTGATCACCAGTTCATGTTCAACTGAACATGCTAAATCAAATAAGTTTTAAAATTTAAGAAGTGTCCAAGTTATTAGCATTATCATTATTATTAGGCATTATTTATTCAGCCAAGATTTTATACAAACAAAAAACATTACAGAGAATCTGACAATGAAACTTTACAGGACAAAACTAGTGGAACAGGTATAAAAAAGATAAAAACATGAACAAGACAAACCCAAATTAAGATGGCCAGGATTACTAAAGTGTGACTCGGAAGCCTACTATTCCAATCTTAAAATGGGACACTGAAATCAATATGAAAAATCTCTGAATCGAACACAAATTAAAAACTGCACAAAACCCAAAAAGTTACTCATTTTGTTAACACTATTCTTTGACAGTTAGTCCCTAAAATTCAGCCTCTACCGAATATAACATCTGCCTTAAAACTTTTCCTGTACGAAAAACCCCAAACAACATGCTACATTCACCAAGTAGGCCTATTGCTGGGTAAGCTTTTGCGGAGCAGACGACAGGGTGCGCAAATCGAACCACTTCCGGGTTCACCAAATCAAGTGACCTTTTTCACTGGTATCCGCCAGCTTTTTACCAGCTAAGGCCATATGAATGGTGCAACACTATAGCATGGATAATGCATGCCATTGATGCATGGTGTACACATTTTAATGTGTTGACAAGCTGGGACAAGTCCTCAGCGCAAAGAAATTATTACGAACAGTTTTATGTACAAAATTCAGTTGAACACCTGATGTAATCGGTAAGTCAAAAGATAAAGGTTTCGTTTTTCTTGTGTTTTTCGGCTGATTGGTTTTGCTCGACATCGTCGTAATTGACATAATCATGAACCTGTCATGTGCCGAACGCCATGAACGCCATGAACGCCGCGGCACCTGTAAACTGCATGCACAGGCGAGATGACCGCGGGACGGCGTGCTGAATTGAACTGAGGCGACTGTATGATAAGATAATTATTGTCTCGTATTCGTAATGCTCGGAGAATTGTTTTATTTTTTTCACAGGGATTACTAAAGAGTAAAGTGAGTAACAGTAATTAAATGTACAGAATCCTGAGAATTGTGAGTTAAGATCGTTTTAAAATTTTGTATTTTCTTATTCGAAATCGAACGATTTCAAAAAAGAGATTCCCCACCATGCATGCCCTCAGGCACAGACAGTCACAAGTTGTTGACCTTAATCTCAGCTTGGGAAATCCCCAACCATATTGCAACATGTCACCAATCAGAGGTGGTTTTTCCTGTGTGTAAATGTTACTGAAACTAAGTTTGGGGTTTCTTTCAATATATTTGCAATAAATGACCACAACTTTGTCAGGGAGATGCAGACTTTGGAAGAAATGTCAAATCCTGGCGTAACTTGTTCATAACGACCTGACCAGTCAGAAACATTTTGTTAGAAAACAAATAGAAAATCTACATGCTTTCCCATGCCCGATAAATGGACCTTAGAATTTAGATTCTACTATTGAAAAACTGACATAAACAATTCAAGGAGTAATTGCAGAATACCCCGCCACTCAAAGATCACCCCCAAAAATTCAATGGCTACGCAGTCAGAGGAGTAAGAAAAAACGCAGTGGCTATTGTTACGGCAGCCGTTACGCATTTCCCATTTTCTATCGTTACGGTAGACTGCAACTTTTATCAAAACATGACAAGAAAATATAAAATTTGAAGGAAAAAGGTGAATTTGAACGTTATGAAATTCGGACTTTATTTCCCTTTTAAAAAAAATTCTCCAAAGCCTCAGGTTAGAAAAGGAAAAGAATTCGAGTGCAAAACTGAGATTCGAACCCGCAACCTCGCGGTGCAAAATCCTACCATCTATCGACTGAGCTGTCGCACTGCTCGCTAGACCCTGTGGAAACAAATAATTATATACCTGCGTGCGTATCAAAAAAGTATCGTAGAGGGCGCTAAACAACAACTCCCGTAACGATAGCCACTTCGAAGAAAAAAAGTCCAAGTCCAAATGGTCCGTTGTCCAAAGCTTGGAGTGGCTACGCGGATACACAGATACGGAGTGGGATTTAGTCAGGGAGGGGTGCAAGATGGCGCTATTTTTCCTTTTAAAAAAAAATCCACCAAGGGGATGAATCAGTACTTACATGTACTGCGTAAATGGGGAAGATGAAAATAAGTCCAAGTCCAAAGTAGGTCCCCCGGAGTGACTATGGGGATACGGAGTAAAGAAATGTAATAAATATATAAATAAATAAGTGCACGCATATTGTGGGTAAGCAGTCAAGCGTGACCATCCAAGAAGCTGGCTACAAGATGTGATAGATGAGTGGTTGGGTACTCTGCAATTGTTCCAAAATGAAAGCACCCTTTAATTTTGTTCGGAACACTTAAAAATCCTGCTGGGTTTCGTTTGCTCTATGGTTTCACTTTGTTCAAATCTGAATACAAAAAAATAAACACAATAGATTGTAATATGTTTCATCGTTATTTTTGGGTTTATATTCAATATGGTCAGTGACTCATTTTCAAGAAGTAATTTAATTGTAAGGACCTTGAGTAAAAGGGCCAAGAGAGTGACACAAACCCATGAACAAAATGTAGAGTCTGATCATAATCATGTATAGACTACCGGTACCTGAGTACTGTAGGCAGTTAATTATCATTTCCCTGACTTTGGTTTGAACTTTGCCGCTGCACGGACTGACAATTAAATTGCAAGGATCTGCAGATTATCCTACATCCTCTAGTGCCAGCCCGGCGCATAACTCTTGCGTTGGATGGTCTGTGACAAGAAATGATTGCGTTCTCTGAACAACAGGATGTGATCTATCAGGTAGCTGGCTGTTTGTGGGAAGATCACAACAACACGGTCTTGTGATTATTGTCTCTTGGGCAACACCTGTTGTATGTTAAGTGATCCATTTCGATTCATGGTCTAAAGAGGTGAGATTTTTTCCCTTGGTTTCAAAACACAACAATCAAATTGTCCTCAAAAAGCTTTTGAATTTGAGGGTTTGTTTAACATCTGTCTAATTTTTTTGGTTTTTTTTTTTAACCATATGGGTCACATTATTTTATTTTCTGTGACAATCCTGTTTGTCCAAGGTCCATACTTTCAATATTTTTTTTTTAAATTATAATAAAAATAGAAATCCTTTCCTTATATTATAAGGTTGTAACAGATTGAAGACCAGATGTGGACAAACCCAACTTTGATGCACAAATTGTATTTTACCTCCAGTAATGGACAAAGCACATTTGGAGAATATTGCAAAAATGTTGTTGTTAACTTCATCCTAATTGCATTCTACAGAATTCAAAGTAAAATTTGCAAACTTGTGTGGTTTTTTCAACACTTCACTGGAACTTTCTTGGAAAATGTGCAGCTGAGGAAGGATGCCAGATAACATCCATGTGCCATCACTCGGTGTTTTTTTTTTCTAATCAGTGTTATGTGTTCCTTTATTTCCAATTTAAAGTACCGGTGCCTGGGTATTTGTTGGGAAGTGTGGCCTAGCGGTAAGGGTTCATGACTCATGATCAGAGGGTCAGGGGTTCGAATCCAGCTGCTGGTCATATGTTGTGTCCTTGGGCAAGGCACTTAATCCCCACTTGCCTCTCTCCACCCAGGAGTATAAACGGGTACCAGCATGAGCTGGGGAGTAACCTGCGATGGACTGGCATCCTGTCCAAGGGGAATAAAAATATTCTCAGTCGTTTCATGCCAAGGAAACCGGAGATAAACGCCGGCCTGATGGGCCATATACACGTAGGCTCGGGACAGACTTTACTTTACTACCAGGGTGTTTTCTGAATATGAGGAATTCATCTCCAGGTTCAATATGTCCTACTCTGGGATCATTAGGGCAATGTAGTTTTCAAATAACTCTATCATTTGCTATTTACTTGGACTTGATCAAATATTCAATTTTTAAATGCACTGATCAGGGGCCAATTTCACGGCGCTGCTAAGCACACAAATTTGCTTAGCACAAAAAAAGTCTGGCTTATAAAAGCAGATTGCCAGCCAAAACTCCACGTGATGTACATGTATATTGCTTGTGATTGGTATTCAGCTGCTGTTTGCTTAGCATGAAAATC